ATTCCATTTTATTTTGAATACAAAGATTTCCAAATTAATTACCAATTAACCAAACAAAGAATTATTAAACTACCTGTTTCTATCCTCGACGGCGACGTATATATTCCAGAAACAAAAATAAATAATATTATTATACCTGAATGTTTAGCAACATCAAAAAATGACATCGATGGTGTCCTGACAATATCTCCTATCTGCAAATTTTCTGAAATTTCAAATTTAGCGCCAAATAAACAAGTGCATCGTTGTACGTAAGCCAGGAACTCCACCCAACTGCAGCATTACAGTATTAGTATTCAAATTGTGTAAAGTAATATCTCCTAACTGAATTGCCTACATAACCTTAAAAAATATCTCCTATTGTCGTCGGCGGCGACGATTTGTGAAATGTGTAAAAATTTTGAAAGAAAAAAACAGTTTTATTAAATCAGTACAACTTTCGTAGGCCGGGATTGGTCTAGACGGCGTTTTGGGGCGGAGCCTCCCGTCCGCAGGATCATATAAATACACCGGGCGGGTTTAGGTTCGAGAGCGCTAGAGTTCCAAGCGAGCAGCCGTAGTGTGCGGACGTAGTTTGTGCAGTGCAGCAGTGAGTGCTAGTGAGAGGAACAGTGAAGTGGAAGCCCCACAAAACCTGTCTTTTACAAGACAAGTTATTTTCGGCCTTTATTAAGGCAATATATAAAAAGAATTCGGCAATTTTTATTGCAAAATTTCAACTAATAACCGACGTTGTCTCAGCCTAGGCAGAGAGACCGTCGGCATTTATTTTTCAGNCCCCTAACCCCAATAATTAGATAATTTTAATATTCTATAGTTCTGATAATGTATCATATAAAAAGCTGGAAATTATTATTAAAGTTAAGTTAGTCTTTTTGGAGCCGAAGGCTATGCTTCAATTGTAACAGTTGTGCCGTAGTGAATAAAGTTGTAAAAAGTAAATTGTGCTTTTTAAAAACTAAGTTTCGCGGACAACAAACTTAACTCACTTGGCGTTCCACCCACCGTCGCTCGGTCTGTCTTTCCCGCTCTTCATAACATTTCGGCCATCCTGTATATTCCCGTCCTCGGGAATTCCTTGGGCCTGGACTAGAAAGGGAACTTAGCGGCAGTGTACTGTTTCGAATATATTTATTGTTGAGGATCTGATGTCAAGTTCAAGATACCTAATCATTTAGTCAGCATGAATGTGAAAATATGTGCTGTGCTTTGCCATTCGTCATTTGATAGATCTATACTTCTGTTACACAATCTGTATACCACGCCCGTAATACGTTTTACCACCAGTACGTCGGGGCAGACGCCTGGCCAGGGCATCCAATCGACATACAAGCAACAAAGAACGTACTGTCTATTTATACTTCATTCATTTGCATTCTTATACTCTGAACACAGACAATGGCTCCCTTTAAAGTCGTCCTGCCCGACTATCACCCCCAATATATTCTGTTTTCGTTAACTGTCACAGGTTACCTTTTAAGTCGTCCTGTCCGACTGTAATCACCAATATATTCCATGTTTTCGTTGATTGTCACAGGTTACCTTTTAAGTCGTCCTATACGACTATCACCACCAATATATTCTATGTTTTCGTTGACTGTCACAGGTTACCTTTTAAGTCGTCCTGTTCGACTATCTCTATCTTGACATCAAATCCGTTACAACAGAACAACAAAATACACCGTTATATCTTTCTTTAACTTTCCAATAAATCAATTAAGACCTCTCTATCTCTAATATCTCTTTCAGAAGCACTGCTTAAAGTTTTTGACTGCTTCTACTTTAACCAATTCTGGCGAGATACCGTTTGGCCCAATTTCATGGCCTAGAAGGTGTATGTGACTTTTAGGAAAGAACATTTTTTAAAATTCAACTTGAATCCAGATTCATTCAATAATTCGAAAACTAGCTTGAGTAATTTTAAGCCTCCTTCGACAGAAACTGATGGAAATAATTAACAAATTATCCATATATACCAAAACCTGGTCATATCGTAACTTCCCCAGAGCATTATGAATGGCTCTCTGGAACACAGAAGGTGCGTTTATCAGCCCAAACGGCATTTTGAGATACTCAAATTGGCCGTCAGGTGTAATGAAAGCAGTTTTGCTAATTGAATTTGGTTCTACTGATATCTGATGGAAACCCTGATTACAATCTAAGCTTGTAAAAAACATTTTCCCCCCTAACAAATTTAACTGTTCTTCCACATTTGGCATAGGGTATATATTTTTAACAGTGATTTTATTTAAAGCTCTGTAATCTACATACAACCTAAAATCATCATTTTTTTTTACCAACACTACAAGGCTAGCATATTCAGACTGTGACTCCCTGACTATACCAGAATCTAACAACTCGTTTACTTTTTCTCTTACAATTGCTCGTTCATTTAACGACGAAAACATACAGGTTTCGATTCATCTGACAACTTGATTTCTAACTGGCACCCCTTCACCACTCCTAACTCAGCAGATGAGTTAGCAAAACAATGCTGCCATTTATTCTCTACTTCAAAAATTTTCCCTTTTGACTCAGAATCTAAATCAGCATTTATGTCTACTTCACCTATCCGAATCTCTCTAACATGCTTAGTATTATGGCTCAGAGAACTCACCCTGTAATCTCTCACAGCGGTGCCGCCTTGACATCTGAGTTCTCTACTAATCAGCCTGCCTCCTCTCCACTGTATTTCTTCATTAGGTACTTAGATTCGAAACCGGAACCAAACAATGAGAGCCTCTAAACACCATTCCGGGAATACAAATCACACTTCTCCCGAACTGAAAGCGTTTGTTTTCCATCAAAACTTCATCCTTTTCATTAACATCGCTAATTTCACAGTCCACCATCATCGTTGAGTGAGGATACAGTATACAGTCTTTTAACAAACTAATTTTTGGTCACACTTCCTCTCCTTGCTCAAAAATGTCTTGTAACCAGTTATCGACATTTTTGATCAATTTTGCAATCCCTGCACATACTAGAAGTGAAACACCTGCGGCATTTATTACTGACTGTCCGACAATCATGTCAAAATTGTCCATATCTGCACTAGTCACCAAAGCTGAAGTCTCTATTTGAACGCCGTCAATTTGCAACGTAAACTTTACCGACATCTCAGTTTTTATCGTACTGCCTCCAAATGCCTTTAATACATTTGAGTCGGGATACAGGTGAAGCTTGGCCCTCTTGGCAGCAGCTGTATGAATAACATTAACCTGGCTACCGCTATCCAATAAACCAATCAATTTTCGTTATTAATGGAACACTGCTTCGCATAGATTTGGTTAACATCTTTCAGATTTTTGCTCGTTTCTCGAAGAGGAACTCGGTTCATTAATATTGCGTTTGCGAACTCTGCAATTTTCTTTTTTGTGTCCAAAACGGTTACAAAAATAGCATCGTAAAACACTTTTCATGCGACAATCTCTTGAAATATGTCCAAATTTGCCACAATTAAAACAACCTCCGGATCTATTGGAAACTTTCTCATGTCTTTCAGGTCGTGGCCTCTTTAGTTTTCCATGTTCATCCTGGTAGCTGTACCTAATTTTCGAGAGACGCTAAAAATCCTGCATATAATTAATTTGGTGTGTTACATTTGAAAGCCCTCGCATTTGCCTGCAATTTTAAAGGCAATCCTTTAATCACACAGGAAATTGTAACTTCGTTGTCCAACCTAAACTTCTGTGTAAGTGACAGTTTCTCATGGTAATAATGAATCATGGTTTCACATGGTTCTTTCTTTCTTGCAACAAGTTCCTCTAACACAGTTGCATAATCTGTGGATCTCGGAAATGCAAGCGTCAATATTGTTTTCCACTCAACCCAGGTCTTCTTATAATCTTCCAAACGATGCAACCATCTTCTTGCTGATCCCCGCAGTTTTTCTTGCATAAATGCAGTTAGTTTTCTGATATTCCGACCACTTGTGTATTTCTCCCAATTGATCAATTTTCTGAAGCCATCCGGTAACCGTTATTGTGTTGTCATCTCGGTTCCATCAATGCAGTTTCCAAGTCGGCCGACTCCAAGTTTGCTCTGAGTTGGGTGCAACTTTTATTAAAAATCTCACTGACCTTCCTTTCAATATGTTTTTCCAGCAAACTTTGTTAAAAAGCATTTTCATCATCACTTATCTTGACCACTTTAATGGGACACACTTTATATAGTTAATAGCAGTTCTGTTATAAATGCGTTCCTTTTTTTTCGGTGAAAGACATGTGACACTATCCCACTTCTGATGTTATAAACAAAAATAATTTATGCCAACAATTTCCTTTATTTTAGGTAAAATGTACATTCTCAATTATTGTTCGCTATTCAACTCTTTAATTCTAACTAACTTATTCTTCTTTTCTATTCCTATATCGAATTACCTTGTTTATATAAAAATGTTTATAAAATTATGAACAATCATCAGTCTATTCAGCGTTTCGGGACACGCATACTGGCCTTGGCGTTCCAGCCACCGTCGCTCGGTCTGTCTTTCCCGCTCTTCATAACAGATATTTGAATAAATGGCATATTTTAGAAATTGTAGGTTATGAGTTTCCTAGAATAAATTGTATATGTATAGTCTGATCCCTTCTATACTATGAATGAGTTTAATTTTTACATAAGATTTCGTATTGCAACTTATGTAGGTACCATGTCGTTCTCAGAAGTACCTCAGTTTCTTCGCATAGTTCGGTTTCAAGTGCGGAAAAGACGCTTCACGTGCGTACTCTTTGTAGATGTTGCTCTTACAACAAGCAAACACCAATGATCATGACACTCTGTTTTTAGTAACTAGTGGCTTTTTCAGCACGTTTTGTAGAAAAATAACTTATTATTTTGTCCTCGTCATTAGAAGACACTTATTACACTAGGGTTATACTATAGGTACTTTGCAACTTTACTACTTATTGGAAATTATCAAAAGATTTGTTATGACTTGTTAACTATCAAAATTGGTACCTATATTTTATGTGTTTGATTAAATTAAAAATACAATCTTTCATTGAAGAGGCACGTTTATTAAAAGTTAGGTAAAAGCAGTTTTTATTTTAAGAAGAATGATAAAATTTATTAGCAGTAAAACTATGGATATCCATTCTTAAATTAATACACACCAACTTGGTGCCTCAGGAGCTGGCTGGGGACTTACGTTGTATCATTCGTACGTAATTCTTGGTTCAGGGTTAGGTTCAGGATAAAGAGTCTTCCGCTCGTCAGGTGTTACTGAAATATACATTAATTAAATATTCTTTTCCAATTAGTCTTTTCATATACAGCGTACATGTTAGTGGGTTCTACTACTTCTACTTCACAAATTAATGAAAAATGTTCCAATATGCATGTGTGGGAAACACTTCGTTTTCGAAATGCGGGCTGTTAAATTAAAAAGTAAAATATATATTTTTTAATTACAAGAAAACGGGTGAAGTTACATATTTCATTGTGGTTTTTGATAGTTTCAGGGATGAGCTTAGAATTTTCGTTCGTAAGTTGTACATGTTTATAGTTTTAACAACTTCACAAAACTGATACAGGTATAAACTCGAAAAAATTTTCATGCTGAGCGTTTTTAGATTCACTACAAAATTTTGTTCAGCGAATTCATTACTGTAAGGAGATAAATAATGAACACTTTGAGCACCTTATAAAATATAGAATTTCAAACAAAAAAATTGTTGTTTATTAAAACTTGTTTCGTTTCTTTTTTTTTATTCTGGCATAACTATTGTTTTCATAAAATTTAAAATATCCAGGACATTTCTTAAAAAAAAAATTTTCCGTTTCATGCATTTTTATCGACCCTGAACTATTATGCTTTTTTATTTTCTGTAAAAAACTAATAATAAATTGAAATCATATCCATATCCTCCTCCTTGTGTTATTTTAAAAATAAATACCCATAATTTGGATCCCTTTATCTTTTATAAATTTGAGAGTAGTGTAAAAAGTTACTTTCAAAGTTCGATATCTCGAAAGTGGTTAATTTAGGTACGGATGTGCTAAATGAATTTTGTTTAGAATTTCGAGAGGAATTCAAACGAGGAATAATATACAGAGTGTTCCATTGAAGAAAAAGCAACTTTTGTTTCGTCGTGACTTTTTGACTGATCCTGTATACATAATATTTCTTTGTTGTAATAGATTTAAAAAAACTAAAACGTTTGTGTCTTATGATTTTTCGATACCTAGCTGTCTTACTTTAGGAGATAATCAACCATTTCCGTAGATATCAATGACCCTGTATAATCACTGAAAACACTGTACATTACAAAAAGGTAATTTGATATAATAGAAAAATATGCAAGGATATTTATTTGCAGTAAAAAGTTTACATTGGTAATAAATAATATCAATTAAATTAAATCAATTAAATATAATTTTTAATTAAAATTTTAAATTTGATAGTGACTAATTTATTGGTATTGTAGTAAAATAAAAGAGCTTTCCTATAAATAGAATTTAATTAGATTATAGGTATACTCACAGATATATTTCACTATAACCTCTGGGTTGTCTGGCATGTTCCCTTCAATGTCATTAATAATACGGCGTATTCTGTTACTCATATTAGCCACATCTCCACTGACTAAATCTAAGAAGTTATAGTTGTCATTCCAGAAATATAATATTTCTTCCCTGCTTAAGCATGCTTGATATTGTTTTAAAATCTAAAATAATGACATTAACATTTTATATTACATTTTTGTATTATGTAGGTATACTTACATGCATGAAAACGTAACTCAACGAATTGTCACTGAAAAAAGATGAATCGCAATCTAGAACTTTCCACAAAACCACAGTTTTTAAATAGTAACTGGATACTTGTTTGTGTTGCATCGTGTCTCTCATTTTCTGAAAACAGAAATGTTTGAATTTTCATTACTTTAAAATAGAATACTTGTTAAAAATGACACTCCTTATGTACTTATGTAATTATTTATTGAAATGTAAAGTAGTTTCTGCAAGAAAACGAGATACAGATCTTAAATATATTTAAATTCAGGATGTTTCGTTAATTTAATTTTTATAGCGATTCTATTCACAAAAATATAAGAAACAAGTTTATATGAACATAGTTCTTAAAATGCCCCCTAAAGGTATAGTCTTTCCGATTTCAGTTGAAGAACCAAGAACTTGACAGTATGTACCAGGCTCGGTCGCTACGCAGTTCGGCATTGAAATATTTGAAAAACTTGTTCCCATATATTTATTTAGTCATACTCATATACAGGTCTGGTCGAACTAAACGTGCAGGTGGTAGAAATGTATATGCCCAGTTGAGGAATGCGCGTGCGGGCAAACAGCGTTCACCCATAGTTGCTCTGGTCGACTGCGTCATAAATCTCAGTTGTCGACAAGTCGCCTGGCAGTGCAGTGCAGCAATGCGAAATTTGGTGTGATTCAGATAGCTTTAATTTATTATAGGCACCATTCTATTAATCATTCATATTACAATGGCGAAAGGGAGAAATAAGAGGGATATTTTGTTTACTAATGTTATTACATGGTATTTTGGAGACCTTTTGAACCGGAACAAAACGAAATTTACCATCAATATAATAAAATTGTTTCAGGACATAAATAATTAAAATATGTTGTTGGCCAAATGAACATATAACAGAAATTTTCTACACATTATATATAAATTATTATAATTTTTTACCCTTAGCAGAAAACTTTTTTAGGGACGCCTATGAAAGTCATTAAATTTTATTGCCAGGCATTTTTTTACGTGTTCAACTGACTTCGGAAAGACTATACCTATGACTGTTTAAAACATGTCTTACATTTATGTTTTTATATCCACATAAAAGCTGTATTACTCTTAGAAAGCATTTAGGAACTTTTAAACATCCTGTGTTTCCATATTCAAGTTGAAAATTTCCTCCAGAAAAAAATTATTTTAAAATAAATTCTGTTTTATAAATCTTATACAGGGTGTAACAAAAATAAGGTTACAAATAGCGCCAGCAGATAGAACACTTAAAATTAGTAGGAGTACTTCATATAAAATTTTTGCCTAAAGTTTTGGTGAGATAAAGGGTGTTGAAAAGTTGACAGAATTAAAATATTTTGAAAACGATAGGACCAAATTTGGTACGAATATTACACTACATACCTCTCATAACCTGAAGCCTTCAATGGATTAAGAGTGCAATCCAGGTGCGGAGATATGGGGAAGCCGGATCCCTTTTTTCTTAAATATTTCTACGCCACTGACTTTAAAAAGTTCTCTTTAGAACGAAAAGTGTAACTTCATCTTAGCTCCGCTGCTAAAAAGTCACTGTACTGTGCGATAAGAACATATTTTTCTTCAGAATCAAGTGACCTAATGTCAAATCATCTTGTTAGTGTTGTCATTACTAAACTAAAACCGCTGTATCTTTTCCATTGCGTCACAAGCAATATTCGTATGAACTAAGACGAAAAATCCTAGTCAAATTAGTCACTGTTTTCATATAATTGAAATGTCATCTTGACAATTCCCAAATCTAGATTTCTGGCAAATTTTAATACTGGTGTTACTGGATATGAAAATATGCCAAAAAAATGATACATAATTAATTAATAATGAATACACTTCCGCAACGACTGTCTTTGATATTAGGATACACGCGTGACGTAATGGCAATCTTAAAACGGTTCTACTATTAGTCCTTTAGCCAGGGTGATCCCAATTGCCTCCTTCAATTAGATGGAGTTACCCAAGTGTTTTTTTGTGTATTTTCAGCTGCAGAACACGAATTTTTTGGGTAGAAGTTTGCCCGGATGTCGATAAGATTTTTATTAACAATAAACTTGCAAAATACTGAGAACTTCGTTTTTGCCAAAATAAAAAGTATTTTCTTGTTATTGTGTGTTATTTTCTAACAAATTCTTACAAATTCAGGAAATGCATTACACCACTGGAGTAAAAAGAGACATGTACCAAATAAGGAGTCTGAACAGAGTTATACAGGGTTGGGCAAATTTATCGGAACATCTGTATACAGGGTGGTCCGAATTTTATGCAGGAAACTTCGAGGGCAGATAGATCTCTTTAAAATAATATGTGTTTGCCTTATAAACATAGGTCTGGAACGGCACCGTTTTAGAGATACAGGGTGTTGAAGTTGTCAAAAAAAATAGATTTTTTGTTTATATCTCCGGAATCTATTTACCGATTTCAATAAAATTTGGTACATATAATGCATGATAGTAGGCCTTATATTCCCTGAAATATGAGCTTTAAAGGTTCAACCAGTGGTCTACAACTGAACAGCGGTCACCCCTTTCTTTGCAAAAAAACCTACGCCACTGCATTTTTTACATGTCATTGTAACTGATTTATATTTTAATGCACAAAATACGTAAAAAAGGTGACTTTAATATTTTCCCTAAGATTCGCCGTTCTCAAGTTATTCATACCAATACAATCCCCTTGTGGCAGACACTTCTAACAATAACATTACAAGAATATTTGTTTACGTTTAAAAGTAAGTGCAATTTGTAAGCACATCAACAAAATTATTTACACTCCTTTCTACACCACCTGTGAGGTAGTGTGCGATATAAACAAAAAATCATTTTTTTTAAACCTCAACACCCTGTATCTCTAAAACGGGGCCGTTCCGGACCTATGTTTATAAGGCAAACACATATTATTTTAAAGAGATTTATCTACCGTCGAAGTTTCCTGCATAAAATTCGGACCACCCTGTATAGGGTGAACCATAAGTTTGATGAAAAAATACCTTAAACGTTACCTGTAGTACTTTTTATAATTTTCAATGACGTACTTTAATTTCCAACATCTACTTTATTTTTAGAGATACTGCGTTGTCGGCATTTTTTTTTCAATGGACCGCCCTGCTTATTTTAACATTTTTAGAAAGACAGATTTTTACCTGTTTAAATCCTACGTCTACAAGCTCTACGCAGGCCCTCTTTCTAAACAAACTAACCTAAATGCCAGATCTTGCCATGTGGAATTTAACACTTGTGTTTTCAATCCTATATTATGCAGGTTTTATAAATGTTTTGTACGTCCGCGGGCAAACGTATGTAGATTTGGACTAGCTTTTAGACAATGATGTATATTTTACAATATCTTTAGTAAAGTAGCTTACCTTTAATAGTCTTAATGCAGGTTTTAGGTGTCCCTTGTTATTTATAAAATCCCTTTCCTGTATTTGGAAGGATAATCGCCAGTATTTGGTATCATTTTCTGGTGTCCCTTTCGGTTTTTTGGGTACGACGAAAAATTCAGACTAAAATATTAATTAAGGGATGAATACAGGGCCTTTATAAATTTTTACAAGCCCCATGACCAGTAATTTTACTTCCTTCACGTTGGCAATTAAATTTCGGTAAAATTAAAAAAAAAGATCAAGATTACATTAAAACATAACATTCTATTTCACCGGTTGTGATTGATGTAATTTTTTACGAGATTTTATTCAACCAATCAGCGATCGCATTACGGATGACCCTAATATTTAGGGATTTCTAGTTGACAGTACCAGCCGTGCGATGTTGGTTGTCTAAGCTCGGCGGCCAGGTGACTTGTAATCATTTATGAAAGCTCTTTACAAAAATGCGTATTGCTTAACAGGAAACGCTCAAATAACACCAATTTGCAAATTTAATAGCATAGACTTATATAAGTACTTGCATTTTTAAAGATGTGTTAAATTCGTGTTAAACAAGATGTCTTTAAGTAACAAATGCAAACGCGTTTTTGTAATCGGTCGTTAGTCAAGTAGAAGTTGTAATATGAACAATATACAGGGTAGCCCATCGAAAACGTACCGCAAGCCATTACAGAATAGTAAAGAACTATTCGGCAAAATCCAAAAACAGGTCAAATTTGTTTCTGAGGGGGACAACTTTTGGCTCAAAAAGCATAGCAAATTCTTCAACCCCCTAAGTGGGGGTGCTATCCCCTAAATTTTTTCAAATGGGAATGGGGGTCAAGTGGGGGGTCATTAGAAAGGGCTTTTAATTCTCTATATATAACATTTTCAGCATTTACTTGACTAATACCGTAAGTTTTGAAGTAAAATTAAATCGATTTTCGCATTTCTCGTCAAAAATATTGTTCGTATTTTCAAAGCTGCATATTTTCTAAAATAATGAATCAATTTTCAAAAAGTAAGAATCGATGTATAGAGCCCTTTCTAATGACCCCCCACTTGACCCCCATTCCCATATAAAAAAATTTGGGGGATGGCGCCCCCACTTAGGGGGTTGAAGATTTTGCTATGCTTTTTGCGCCAAAAGTTGTCCCCCTCAGAAGCAAACTTTTCCTGTTTTTGGATTTTGCCGAAAAGTTCATTACTACCCTGTAATGCCTTGCGGTACGTTTTCGATGGGCTACCCTGTATAGGATGTTTTGGAAATAGTGCCGTCACAGTGATGGTGTATAACTATCACAAAGAATAGAAATACCAAAATAGTATTCTTTTTGTGATTTCACATAGAGTACATTTATTTAAAAGTAAAAAAAAAAGCAATACGAATATACTTTTAAGTTTTTAACAATCTATGATCCAAGGAATTTTCAAAATCTGTCATAGAAGTTTGTCAACTACGAGTATTATTGGAACTCCCTGTATTAATGTCGTCATAAATGTCATTTAAGTAAATTTTTTAATTTCTATAAAGGTTCTATTGTCAGAGAGAGAGCAAAAATTGAAAAAAAATGTTTATATTAAGAAATAAAAAGAGGATGTAGAGCTAACCAAATTAAATCCATATTTGTCAGAATATACTTTAAAACCATCCTTAGGCCACTTATCCTGACCAAACTCAAAACAAGTCACTATATCCACGTCCATCTTTACCTCTTCACCATCGAGTTCTCCTATTATTATCAAAGTGAAAGCTGGACCACTTTTGCGAAACTTTTTTACCTGAAAAATATTTCAATAATCTTTATTTTTGCATATGCCTAAGTGAATATTTTTAGTTTTATGCAGAGTGTAACTAACAAGGTTAGGCTAATCATCATCATCACTATACAAGGTGTTGCAACATCCCACCAACAAAATTTTATAAAAATAAGACAAGGCATGAAGATTCATGCGTTCCGTCGGATATTAAAAAAGTGTTGAATGTTCGGAAAAATAAGTGAAAATAGCTAAAACAGTAATAATAAAACATTATCACATTACATCGTAAAAATGCGTTTGATCAGAAAATTACCTGTACAATTTTGTCGATGAAATATTGGAACACCTATGTGTGTCTAAAAAATATCTCTCACATAAAGTGACTCTTCACTTCCAAAAGTACACCAAGAATTATTATCCGGTCTAAAGTAATTTAGGCCTTTCTGAACGATCCCTTCCATCCACTCCAAGACCTTTCTGGTGTCTAGAAATGATTTCCATTTGTCGTCGGTACTGCAAAGTTTCTCAAAACCCCTGAAAAATATATTTTACGTAAATGCAACGGTCCTTAGAAGATTAGAAAAATTATTTATTTTACTTGAATGTAAAAAATGACAGTGATAGTTACGTAATAGAGGCGTCCTCTGATGAAAATTATTAAGGATATGAGAAAAAATATCTAGTACCTACATTAAATAACAATAATATATACTATTCCATTAGAAAATATAGGGTGTCCCAAAATATAGGTACCCAAGATATGAATTTTGTGTCATTTATGCGGTAAAGTGTTGCCATCGAAAAAAAAGGACAGCGTAACAGCAGTTCGTGAGAGTGTTACTGAGAGTCGAGGAACATCAATTCAGACCGTGGCGTGGTCGAGAATTGGACATTTTGACGTCGCTACAGCGTATTCTCACGAAAGATTTGCATCATCATGCTAACAAAGTTCAATTGACTCAAGAATTGAAGCGTACTGACTACGCAGAGCGGAGAAAGTTCGTAGAATGGATTGTGGAGCAACAAGTGGATTTTTCGAACAATATAATCTTCAGCGATGAGGTTCATTTTCATCTTAATATCTTTGTTAATTGACAAAATTATTGCATTTAGGGCTCAGAAAATCTATGATTGATTGTTGAGGAACAAATGCATCCACAACGTGTCACTGTTTCGTGCAGATTTTAGAAGCATCATCGGACCATTCTTCGAAAATAATAGGCAATAACAGTTAACGGTGATAATCTAGTTATTTGTGCCTAAATATGGATGTGTGTAGATGACATGTGATTTTAACAAGACCGTGCCACATACCAAACAGCCCGAGAAACAATTCAATTATTGCATGAGTCATTTCCTGGTCATGTAATTTCCTGCTTTGGTGATTAGAATTGGTCGGCCAGATCATGCAATGTAATGCTGTTGGATTTTTTCTTTGGGGTTTTTTGAAGTCTAAGGTTTATGCCAATAAGCGCACGACCACCCACGCCTTGAAGAAGGAAATTGGGCGCTGTATCGACCAAATAGTGCATGCGTCGAGGACTTTTATAGGCCAGTCAAATTGTCGAAAATACCTCGTTTCTTTGCCAAAATTTAGTTCAGTAAACAAAGACACGTAAAAATTTGGAAAAATTCCGTAGATTTGAATCAACTATTTTATCACAGACATTTGACAAAGACATTTGACTTGAGTTTAAAATTTTCTTTAAGAGCTGTACTTTCCTGTGCAAATAGGCATGATGACAGTAACCAAGAATCACTAAAATTATTTTTCCTGAAATGGTAAAGGTCACCCTGAACAAAATAGGAGCTAAGTCCGCGACTAACAGTAAATGCGGAATTGTGTCCTTTGATCTGATTGTGAGTGTCCTTCTCAAGAAAATTCCACACATGTAGAAGAGCCGCTATTTAATGAGAATGAAAACGTATGGACTGATACCATTTTAGACCTGCGCACAGGTACGGACCAACAAACTCCCAAAAAAGGGAAAAAACTTAACATTGCCCCTCGTGGAACATGACTTAGAAGATGACGTTTTATCCAGTGAAGATATTGACTTTTCTAATTCTTCGGAAATAGTGGAGGATAGAATAGAAGACAGACTATCAACATCAAACAATGACGACTATGAATTTCTACAAAATCAAGAACCGTGTGTTGGCGATTTTGGCATAGTTAAATTTACGACGAATAAAAGGGATAGATTCTTTATTATTGGCAAAATTGAAAAACAAAATAACACTTCGAAAGCAGGCCGGTTCAAAACAAGATATGTTCGTTTATCCCACTGTTCCAGATTTAAACATTGTTAGGGGTCAAATTTTTAAGAAGGTTAACTAACCTTAGTTTACCATTTTGTGATTTTATTTTAATATTAGAATCTAATTCATATTTATTTCATAGGACTTGTTTTTATTTTTTTGAATGGTTCGTAAGAAGTTAGATACCTACTAACCACCTACTTTATATTACCAAATAGAGCATTTACAATTATTTATTTATGTCCTATATGCATGTATCTGCAATGATTTTTTATAGATTATATGATGAATAAAAGTAACGTTCAGATAAACGTTAGTGCAATGGCACTGCAGTTGTATTGTTGCTTTGTACTTGTATGGTATAAATATTATCTACTCTGTTTATATAAAATTAGTGTAGTATTTACTGTATTGTATGTTTTGCGGAGCTCTGTCAAAAATACTGTTGTCTGATTGGTCCTTGAATTACTGGTGGTAACGGATTGATATAAACTGTAGGTAGTACAACGGCGTTACTGCGAAGCTTATCTGAACGTCCCTATTGCAATGCATGTCAAGAATTTTTCTATAGTACCAATGTGTAACAAAAGCCGGGACGCGTAGTAATTTATTTGTTAGTTCTCGGAACGGATTGGCCAAAATGTAAAATATTTCAGTCAACACAAATTATCGAATGTTAAGGGCTCTCAAGTAGGTTAGCGTCGTCCTTCGGAGAAATTTAGCAATATTTTTTTAACAAGTTCACTTAGAGTCGGGGCCACGTGATGTGTGAGTCATCTGTCGCGTCCGGGAGGCACCAGCCTATGCTGGGACAGACTAAAAGATAAAAATCGATATTTTTAATAACGCGTCAAACCACGAGAAGAGCGTAGAGGTTCCAAGTAGAATTAAATCAAATTGTTAAATTGATAGTGTAACGCACTTTCCTGCGGTTTCGGTTCTGGTGGTGGTGACGGTTAGTTACGTTACTTATGGCCGCCCCCGGTATACTACCAACTCTAAACGGAATCTTAATTCGTAATTTCGAATTCCAATTTTACTAGATTTATTGACGTCACTGACGTCCCTATTTGGACGCCGAATTTTATGACGACCCTTGACTACTAGTTTATCGGCAGCGGTGGTTGGCAGCCGGCGGTGGTGAGTGACGTCACAGGAACGTACTCCGGGTTAAATCTTTGTTCGGTTTTTGTCTCGGGCGCCAGTTTCCCAATCTGTTACGTGGGGGAAACTCCACGTGAAACCTACCCTCGGTTTAGAGTAAGTACTCGGGATAGCTGCAGTGAAGAAAGTTTAATTCCAGGGGTCTGTTATATTTCTCTTAATTTCAAGCAAAGTAGTTCTCTGAGTGTAGTGTTATTTTCCTTTCAAAATAAACGGTCTTATCAGTGTAGGTCACAAAAAGATAAGCGGACCCCTTTTTTACTGATCGGAATTTTATCAAATTTGTCGGCGTTAAGAATGAATACAAACGGGAATTATATTTACTAGATTTATTAATCAGGCCTATTGAATTTGAAACAAACAAACAAAAGTAAAACAGATTCTAATTACAATTATTATTACTAACTAAAAC